GATTGTGATAAGAGTTGTATGAGCCTCCAATAAAATGATTAAAATAAAAAAGACAGTTCCTCATGCTGTGGTGAGCCCCCCCAGCCCAGCCATAAAATTATTTTCATTGCTACTTCATCACTGTCATTTTGCTATTGTGATGAATTGGGCCACCCCTATGAAAGGGTCGTTCAACCCCCAAAGGAGTCGTGACCCACAAGTTGAGAACCGCTGCTCTAGATCCAAGATGGGGCAGACAGAGGCACTGGGAGAAGAGGCTGTCTTCCCCCACAGGGAACTCATACATTAGGAGCATGCCCACCCTGTGTCCTCCTTGCCTCGGGTCATTGGTCACGGCTCAGGGCCTCTGTCATTGTCCCCCAAGCCCTCCCAGAAGGTGTGGACTAGGATTGCCGTGGCACGGACACCTTCAACCCCCACCCCCACCCCACTGCCAGATTCCCCTCTTGGCTTATTCTTCCATGGTATGGTCTCCCAACTGTTGTACCGACTCTTTGCCAATTCAAGACCGACACCGGGGCCACAGCCCTGAGCTCAAGTCCAATGGTGAGGAGGGCACAGGCCTGGGCATGCGCCTTTCCCTTGGGTGTGGGGTCCTGATGGGCCAGAACGGGCTCGATGGCCCCAAACAACCACCACAGGAACAGCAACAACTCTCCTGGCTTAGAGGAGACCAGAAACAAAATCCAAAATAAACCCCAACAACTCGGTGTGGGGTGGGGTGGAGTGGAGGCCAAAAACCCATCTGCAGACAATTGGACAACCCCTCACAGAAGGGTCACCAGGAAGGGATGAGCCAGCCAGGGTGCAGCATAGCATGAGGAAACATACGACATTCCTCTAGTAGTTCTTCAATGCCCCCCCTCTTCCCACTATCATGACCCCAGTTCTACCTTACAAATCTGGCTAGACCAGATCATGTACAGGGGTAGATAAGAGCTCTTGACACAGGGAACTCAGGACACAGAAACCCCTCAAGACCAATAATGAGAGTAGCGATACCAGGAGGGTAGGGGAGAAGGTGGAGTGGAGAAAGGGGGAACTGATCACAATGATTGACATATAACTGCCCACCAAGGGGGACGAACAGGAGAAACGTGCATGAAGGAAGACAGTGGTTGGTACAAGATATGAAAATAATAATAATTTATAATTATCAAGGGTTAATGAGGGAGGAAGGGTTGGGGAGGGAGGAAAAAATGAGGAGCTAATACCAAAGGCTCAAGTAGAAAGGAGATGTTTGGAAAAGGATGATGGCAACATATGGACAAATGTGCTCGACACAATAGATGGATGGATTGTGATAAGAGCTGTAAGAGCCCCCAATAAAGTGATTAAAAACAAACAAACCAACAAAACCACGTTCACTGTTCTTGAGTCGATGCTGACTCACAGTGATCCTCTAGGGCAGGTTAGAACTGGCCCTGTGGGTTTCCAAACTGTCACTCTTTACAGGAGTACAAACCCACGTCTTAGTCCTGTGGAGCAGTTAGTGCTTTTGAAGTCCTGACCTTGCAGAGGGGATCACGACTGGTAACCACTCCGCCAGCAGGGCTCCCTTAAACTCAGAGACAGGGGGGAGTGAAGGCCCCCCAGCTCCCTCAAACCATACTGCTTAGCCATCAGACACATAGTGAACCCTAAGAATAGCCATGACCATTCTCCCCATTTTACTGATAGGGAAACTGGGGTCCAGAGAGCCAAGGTCACTTGCAAAAGGCTATCCAGGTAGCAAGTGACAGAGCGCCTGGATTTGAAATCTCTGCTTCCGTATAGCACCCCTTTACTTGCTTTTGGCTAAGCGCTGCACTGCTAGCTGCAAACTTGGAGGTTCAACCCCACTGGCTGCTCTGTGGGAGAAAGATGAGGCTGTCTGCTCCCATTCAGAACTGAAGAGCCCGTGAACTCTGTACAGGGTCGCTATGAGTCAGACTGGACCTGATGGCAATGAGTTAGTGCTGTCATAAGGAGCCTCAGTGGCGCAGTGGGTTATGTGTTGGGTCGCTAATCAAAGGGTCGGTGATTCAAGTCCACCAGCTGCTCTGTGAGAGAAAGATGAGGCTGCCTGCTCCTGTAAAGACTGACAGCCTTGGAAACACACAGGGCCAGCTGTACTCTGTCCTGTAGGGTCACTAGGAATCAGAATGGACTCCTGTGAAGATGTACGATCTTGGAAACCCTATAGAGGGCCACTATGAGCCAGAATGGACTCATTTGCCCTGGGTTTGGAGGGAACGCCTTTAATAAGGAGCTATGGTGGCACAGTGGTTAAGGGCTTGTCTACTAACCCCGAGGTCGCTGGTTCGAATCCAGCGGATGCTCCGAGGGAGGAAAAAATCAGGCTGCTTCCTCCTATCCACGGAACAGCCTAGGAAACCCTACGGGGCAGCACTACTTTGTCCAATGTCACGGTGAGTCAGAATCGACTTGCTGGCACACAACAAACAGCACGGTTTATC